GTTCCTCTCTTCAAACTCAAGTTGGTTAGTTTCTATCCTCCTTGAGTTTGCGGGGGGCTGTTAGAATTTACCATCACCTACCACCACTACCACCTCACCTACTCCACTAAACCTAACCCACTACACCACTACCACCATCCACAACACCTACATCTATATAAGGAACCATTTGTAATAGACAGTATATCAATCAATATATCAATCATAATATATACACAATTTATGCTCTCTCTCTATCAGTTTATTTTTACAGGTGCAAAGGTATCTTGATAGTCAACGCCACATGTTTAAGTGAACCATTTTGCCACAAGTCTAGCTTTGTAACGCTCAATAGCACCAACTGCTTTGTGTTTCACAGTATACACCCATTTGCACCCCACGAGTCGTTTGCCCTTAGGTAACTCAGTCAATTCCCAAGTGCCATTCTTCCTAAGTGCTTTCATTTCCTTAACCATGGCAAGTTTTCACTCAGAGGTAGCAAGAGCAACCTAAAAATGGTTAGGAATGCTAACAAAGGAAATATTTGACACAAACGCTCTATATGAAGACGACAAATGAGAGTAGGACACAAAATTAGAGATAGGATGTTGAGTACAAGATCTCATACCCTTTCTTTTGGCAATAGGAACATCAAGATCAATGGACTCAAGAGATTCAAAGCTACTAGGACTCTCATCAGAAGTAGGAGATGGCAGTAGAGGAGCAGAAGTAATCTCTTGTATCCAGTTAACTTTTTGTTGTCGTTGTCCCTGACATAAACTTGCCCTTCCCTATCCTTGGTGACATTGAGTTTTGTAATCCCAATAGGAGGTGGTGGTGCAAGAACAACTGATTCCACCATAGGAATCACAGGAATCACTTCATACCAAGGCTCCCCTGAAGGGAGGATTGCGACACTAGATAGGACAAAAAATAGGATTGGGACTTAAAGAATGTGACATCCATGGACACAAACCACTTACGAGGAGGGTGGTAACACTTATACCCTTCTTGAGTAGAAGAGTACCCAAGGAAAACACATTTGAGGGAGCGAGGGTCCAACTTACCACGAGTAGGAGAGTAATTATGAACAAAACAAACACGGCCAAGTATTTTGAGAGAAATAGAAAGCAAAGACTGGAAACCTAGGAGGACTTGAAAAGGAGCTTGTTTTTGCAAGACTTGGGTAGGAAAACGATTAATAAGATGGGTAGTGGTGAGAACAGCGTCGCCCCAATAGGGCCGAGGCACACTCATAGGAAAACACATGCACTGAGCCATGTCAAGAAGATGGCGATTTTTGCGTTCTACCACCCATTTTGTTGAGGGGTATTGGTGCAAGAAGTCTGATGGATAATGCCATGAGTAGAGAAATATTGCCCTAACCCAAAATCTATGTATTCACCCCCATTATCAGAACGGAATATTTTGACACTGGCTTCAAAGTGAGTACAAATCATCTTATGAAAATTGCGGAACACAGAAAACCTCACTCTTGTCTTTCATGAGATACACCCAAGTAATATGAGAAAAATCATCAATAAATGTAACAAACCAGCGATGACCTTTCACAGACATAACACAAGATGGATCCCAGACATCAGAATGTATTAATGAGAAAGGAACTAAACTTTTATTAAAACTGGGAGCAAAATAAGCTCTGTGTTGTTTTCCAAGTTGACAAGACTCACAAAGAACTTCACACACATTATTGTTTGAAAAAATAAAGGGAAATAAATGCTTAAGTAAATAAAAAGAAAGATGCCCAAGATGCCGATACCACAGTCATATATCATTTGTGGTAGTAGGACTCGTGGTGGACGAATGAGCAAACTTGTCCAGTTGATCTAGGAAGTAGAGACCATTTTCTGCACTACCATTGCCAATCGTCCTCCTCATGACAAGGTCCTGAAAAAGACAATGATCAGGAAAAAATGTCACACTACAATTCAAATCCTTTATAATATGACTCCAGGATAACAGGTTAAAAGAAAAATTGGGAACATAGAGAACAGAAGAGAGAGGTAAAATAGGAGAGACATAGATTAAACCTTTCCCAGAAATAGAAGAAACAGTACCATTTGCAATCCTAACTTTGTTTTGACAAGAAGAGGGCTTATAGGCTGAGAAAATGTCAGAGGAGCCAAACATATGATCTGAGGCACCAGAATTAATAATCCAAGGCAAAGACTTATGAGATAGAAAAACACAAAGAGAAGAGACTAAGTTACCTGAGCGGGCAAACGACGAGGAAGATGTACTGAGAGCAATAGAAGACTGGCGATCCAGCAAATGATGCAGAACATCCTCAAGCTCATGAGTAGTCATGCCAGAGATACCATCAAAGGGCTGGCCAACAGAAGTGGAAGTAGAATCAAGTATATCAACGGCACTTGACTGATGAGCCCGTGGACGAGAGCCCCGTCCTCTACACTGGCCTAACCGACCTCCTCTAAAACCAGACTGGTCACCTTGACCCCCGAATCCAACACGGCTCACGAGTATGCCGCGGCTTGCGACAGAAATCACAGAATACAGACTCCTTGGTGACAAACAGAGAGATAGGAGTCAGGCTGAGGCCATATCTAGGGGTAGACAGTAATTTTGAGTGGTTAGTAGAGACAGGTGGCATCATAGCAGACCGGCGACTCTTCTCATTCTGTACATAGGCAACTGCTTCCTGAAGTGAAGGAAGAGTGTCCATACTTAGAACTCGACTCCTAACCGGATTACACTCCACATTGAGGCCCGCCATAAACTTGAAGACCCATTCCTGTGCGATGAACTTCCTGTACCCGACTAAATCAACAGTGCAAACCGGCTTATAGTCCTGCAAGTGATCAAGGCGTTTCCAGCCGTTGGTGAGGAAGGTGAAGTACTGAAGAACAGTCTGCACCCCCTGAGCGCTCTCAATAGAGCAGCGCAACTCAAATGCCAATGAGAAACTCCCTTTGCGGAAATAGATGGCAGCCACAATATCCTAAAAATCACGGGCAGTCTTCATAGACAAGTAGCCCTCACTAATTTCTGGAACTATCGAATGAACAAGCCAACCATAATCAAAGAGTTGGTAATGTCCCATTGGTCATAACCTGGGTCAAAGGTGCTGGGTGCCTGTATCCTGCCATCAACATACCCCATCTTCCCTCTGCTCTTGAAAAAATAGTCAAACTCTAAGACTATGCTAGATAGTTCTAACCATTAAATAGAAAGATAGTGATTTTCAAACTAGGGTTGGGGTTATCAGTCATGGTAATAGGTATAATGGAACTCTCACTCTTAGGTGTCTGAGAAGTAGTGGATACACTGGTGGAATCTACCATGGATACTATACTACCGAACCCTCAACAAAACTAGTGGCAATCACAAATCCGGAAGGTGGTGGTAGAAGGAAAGACACAATGACCACTATAAAGGCATAACAAATTAAGAACGCATAAGTTTTTTTTTATATATTTTTTTGTTTATGAGACAAGCTCTTGAATCTAAAGGTTTCCGGATAAGCAGAAATAAGACAGAGTATATGGAGTATAAATTTATTAACAGTAACAATGAAAGCAAAGGAGAAGTGAAGATTGAGAACCAAGAATTGCCTAAGAGTGAATATTTTCGTTATTTAGGGTCGATTATCACAACAGCGGGGGAGATTGATGCGGATGTGGCCCATAGGATTAAGGCTGGATGGTGTAAGTGGAGAAGTGCGTCTATGATACTGTGCGATAAACGAATACCACTAGATTAAAAGGTAAGTTCTATAGAATGGCTATTAGACCAACGATGTTGTATGAGACGGAGTGTTGGGCAACCAAGAAACAACTTGTAGATAAGATGAGTGTGGCTGAGATGAGGATGCTAAGGTGGATGTGTGGCAAAACTAGACAAGACAGAATTAGGAATGAGTGTATTCGGAAATGGGTAGGAGTAGCACCGATAGAAGATAAGTTGAGAGAGAATCGATTTAGATGGTTTGGTCACATTCAACGGAGACCAACAGAGGCAGCAGTGAAGAGATGCGATGCTGTAACGGTAGAGGGGAGTATTAGGAGACAGGTTAGGCCTAGATTAAAGTTGGTTAACGTTGTAAATAGAGATATGGATCTACTTAATTTGACTAACGAAATGGCCTTTGATAGAGCCACGTGAAGACCAAGGATTCATATAGCCGACCCCATTTGATGGGACTTAAGGCTTGGTTTGGTTTTTGGTTGGTATGAGTTCTAGTTCTGGTTTTAAGAACAAATAAGTGCACTACACGACATTTGAGACGAATACAGACAAGAGTGAATACAAGAGACGAAGTGACGAGAGACGACTGAAGGTGATCAAGAGACGATTGCATACGGGAAGTCGACTGAGGCAGAGGGACTACCAAGAGTGGCCGACTGGGCAAACGACACCAGCGAACGACCAACCCAGGTAAGTTTCAAACCCTAGGGTGATCTTCGTTGCTGAGTTCGACCAACAAGGGTGAACCGAAACCCTAGACAGTCATCAACCCACCCAAAACCACTTGGGTCCTTGGCTTGAGCTAAAGCCCCTCAGTGTGGAGTCAGCTTGAGCCAACAGAGAGGACCTGTCTACGATGGTGGCTGGTGGCTCCGGTGGATAATAGGAACAGTATGGGTAGATGGATTTAGGTTTTAGGGTTAGGCTCTGATACCATAATGTTTTTAGAGAATAACAAGATTAGGGAATGATTAGGATATCATCCCCAAGTTATATTAATGAAAATTAATAATTACAAGGGAGTCCTAAGGCATAGAATAATTACAAAATAATAACCCAAATAATAATATATTATTCTAACATAAAGTTCTTCATTTAATTTAAATTATCATAATTCATGTTTTAAAAACCTATGACTACATCACTAAAGTAAGATCATATTTCATGACTTTCAAATTCTTAAACAGAAATTAAGGATTCCGTCCTGGATAATTTTAATCCTTTTCTTATTATTCAATATTTGCATTCAAATTTCAAGAAAATTAAGTAAATGATCTCTACATAAACAACTTTACCAGGCATGACACGTAGAGCTCTGGCCTCAACTGTCACAAAATCTGGATTTGCTACGACCATGGGGATATTTTTAGCTGCACACTGCTCCAATATTTTCTCAAGATCTTCAAGTTTCATAGGAAATGTAGTACCAGAAGAAAGCCCCAAGGCTTCAGTGCCATGGGCCAAAATAAACTCAGCTTCTTCAACATTCTCCACTACTTGTAAACCTAGGCCCTACAGCAAGAAATTTAATAAGAAAAAATTGTAAATTAGTAAGCCAGTAATTTATCTCCAAGTATGATGTCAGTGCTATACCTTGCTCATTTCAGTTAGGTTATCAAGGTTTTTTTGGTTCAGGAGATTCTTTACTAACATGAAATATATGCTTCTTTTCAGTGGTGCTTGTACTCTAGATGAACTTGATTGCAAAATTTTGGGTGACAGGGAGTGACACTGCAAGAAAAAGGGTAAATTACGGTAGTAGTACTAGTCCCTATAGTTTACCCTCTGTGTCATTTTCGTCCCTAAAGTTTTAATTGACTCAATTTTGACCCTAGATTTTGAAGTTTATGTCATTTTAGTCCACCTGAAACGGAGGTTAAGAAATTGGATGGAAAATTTGCATGTGAATAACATGTGATTGATTTCCCAGGGGAAAATAGATATTTCTCTCTCTCCCTCCTCACTTACAAACAGAGCCACTGTGCCACCACTCCACCTCCTTCCACCACCCAACCAATGCCAAACCAATCCCAACATCCACCATTGTAGATCCACAGATCATCATAACGATGATAAAAAATAAGAAAAATTAAACACAAAATCCAATTTCCAACCCCTACATAAAAAATCACAACACATAATTAACGTACAAAGTTTAGATCTATCCACATTCCCAAATTTGAAACCTTGGATGTACAAATCTCCATGATAAAACAAAGGAAATGGAACATGAACAGAGAGGGAGAAGATGCGAGAGAAACCATAAATGAACTATTCCCTCTAATCATAATTAATCTTTTTGATAATTCTTCATGAAGTCTTGTCTTTAGCAGATGAAATCATCAATATCCCATGATCGTTATATCTACCATAATGTCTGCCTCAAGAATCTCCAATGAGAGACAGAAAGAGAGTGGTTGAGCCGTCATTGGTTGAGCCATCGCTGTCAATGGTTGTGTCGCCACAAAACCCCTCCCCCCACCCAACCCCAACAGCAGCCACTCTTCTTCCCCAGCTGTGACGCCATCGCACCAGCTCTCTTCCAGCCGTGGCAACGTCGCCCCATCCCCAAACACGATACCAACCCCCTCCCTCTACACCGCCTTGCCCTCCCTCAACCCTCTTCCCCATTCCCTGGTCACCTCTTCCCCCTTCCCTCAATGCCAGTTTTCTTCCACCACCTCCTTCCCTCACCGACAGGTTTCTTCAACCGTCTCCTTCCCCCCCACCCCAGCAACCTTTGTCCCTTTAGCTGTCCCTCTCTCTCTCTCTCTCTCTCTACATGTGTTTTTGATAGTTCAGTGAGTTCATCTTGAGTTATCGAGTTAACTCAAAGGGTTTGATCGAATATGAATGAGTTGACAATTTTACCCTTCAAAACAATGGGTATGCCTTTCACGTGCAAATTTTCCGTCCAATTTTTTAACTTCCGTTTTCAATTGGACCAAAATGACACAAAAGGCAAATTATAAGGACTATTAGTGTAATTTACGAGTAGGAAAAATAATACACAGCAAAAAAATGGATTCAGGCATACATTTTTCACTCAAACCAAATCCGTGGATCATATGGGTTAATCACATGCCTCTATGATGAACTCGAACAATTCCCATCAGTGGAGTAGAACTACTAGAGAACTACTCACACAATTCGCAGTACAAATGCTTGGTTGTTCTTCAATGGAAGAGATTTAGAGAGAGAGAGAGTCTTTTTGCAAAAAAAACTTTTTGATTAAACCCCATAATGTATAAAACGTAATACCTATAGATGCAAGAGATGTAACCAACCACAACTCCATCTCCTCATAAGATGAGATTGTGGGATATTCACTCTTATCCCCAAGATAAGGTAGTTTGAGATTCAAACTATTAGAGTCACTAAATGGGTCATGGGTCATGCCACCATAAGCGCCCAAAACTCGAGTTTGAAACCCGACCTGATTTCCAACATCTCCACTCGCACATGGGTTGGCATGACATTGCCACATCTCTATCTCTATCTCAATCTGCCCAAACATCGAACAAACTCATACTTGCCAATCGAGCATGCGACCGCTGAGAACACATGCATGTAGGAGCTCTACATACACTAGAAACTCAAAAAAGCCAACCTCGAGACATCAACAACCCAAAGATAAAAATAGTGTTTCATTTATCCCAAACCCATCCAGTTACACCGATCTAAGTATCTCTAATCCCTCACAGAGCATGCTCGACCCTCTCAAATCTTGTAATACATTCACACTCAATCCGCCTCTCATACAAAACAACATGAGTTGCCAGCAATGAATATACAACAGAGGTGTAATACTAGATGATCTTCCCTTTGCCCTTATGCCATTTAGTTTAGGATTGACCGCTTTCCTAGTGATGTCCCTGAAGGCCGAATCATACATGATCACAAGCAACATACCAAAGTAGCTGAAAATTAACCCCTCACCTTGTGACATAGTCAAAGGTCACAAAGGGTACAAAAGTGAAAGGCATATCAACAATGACATGTAAGACTCACACGGTGAGGAAACAGGGATCCATTCTCTTACCTCATTACTCAGTCGCCAAACACATGTAGTATGAATACATGCTATGGTGGAGTGGCTCTTCTAAATAGTGACGTCATACTCCATACACCGTATAGATCTCTAGTCACTCTTAAGTGCACAAGTCACTTTCTAGCGCCTAACTCAAATTCTCTATTTGCTCGCCTTCCAAGCGCCAAATGAGATATCGTATCTAGCTAATCATAACAAGAACAACATGGACAGTGGGTACTAACATCCATGTTTGGTCTTTAACCTCATCTAGGCTGCAACCAAGGTGATATACATAGTGGATAATTTAAGCTCTCTCGACTCCAAATAAAATAAACCACTAGTCTTATCTTTGCTCGCTCCCAAGTGCCAAGGGCGATTGCTCATGTGAGTGAGCCAATCTTACCTGCTAACATCATCATTTGCTAATCATTATGCTACAAACTATAATAGCAACTTAGAAAATATGAGGAAGAAGAACTCCGAAAATATGAGGAAGAAGGAATATATTTCTGTTATATTCAAAACTTCTTATTTTACAAGACCAAATGACACTCCCTATATAGGAGATATTACAAACATCATTATAACCCATTATATGCCACTTACATATTATATATTACCACTATCTACCACTATCATATTATATACATGTCACTATCTACCACCAACACCACTATCATATTCTATACATGCCACTATCTACCACCAACACCACTATCATATTCTATACATGCCACTATCTACCACCAACACCACTATCATATTCTATACATTTCACTATCTACCACCAACACCACTATCATATGCCACTATCTTATTATATGCATTAACACAAATTTCCAGCAGCATCAATATCCCAAAATATCACAAAAACAAGCAATCGATTGAAAAACACAACCACCACAGTTTGCGCAATTCTAAATTCCAAACATAGACCCTATCAGCAGCTTTTGCGATAGGCATATACAACAAAATCCAACTTGTGCGCCTCACATGAAGTGATTCAAGATCACTACCTTTTGTGCAACTGCCTCTCCAAAGACATTTTGGTGATCAATTTGTGTTCATTCAAGGTGCACCTAGCTAACGCATTGAATCTTACAAGGGCCAAATTTATACACTACCAGTAGAGCATCCAATCCACAGTCTCTTATATTAGCATAATATCTTCTAGACTATGTCTAATGAGCAAGATCCAAATCTAACAACTCTTAGTTAATCATCTCATCTGTAATGATTAACACTTATCATGCCGAATACGCCCACATAGCGTACTTCAGGCTCCCCACATCAAAAGATCAAAGAATATAGGTTATCTGTTTCTCTTTGAGACAATCTGAGAATTCATTCAATAGCTGAGACTCTAGCTTATACTGACAGGTAAGTCAAAAGGTTTGCAATTTCGCATCTAGAATCATTCTAGGATATTCCTTATGTAAGTCATCAAAGACAAACCAAGAATTCTCCTAGAACAATACCTGAGGATCATACATCCGAGCATATAAATTGCATCACACATATCCATCATGTTTAAAATAGAGGACCACCAACCCTAGGTGGCGACAACCCTTTAAATTTCTAGCTCATAATGACTAAGGAAAACTTCTTTCAAACCATTGATCATACCTCAGCGGTCTTCATCAATCATCGTTAGCCCTTCATGGCTTGATGAAATCTAAGAACCACCTAATTAGATAACTGCTTTAGATGGTAAAAGATTTATTGGAACTAGCAATCTTTTGCGCACCTAATGTTTTGCCACAAAAGCAGAAGGTAAATCCCTATGGATCTACTTATCTAATTCTACAATGAAAAGTTGGGTCACAATATCCACAAAATACAGTTTCGAACCCAAGTCTATCATAGCCTTAGTCAAAGTAAACCTCACTCCGCAGGAGAAGTCTCCTCACAGTATACACCTTCCTCAAATGGTGCGACTTTTCGATATCTAGCGAGTCTTATGCCTCTCAAAACGACTATCCAAATCGTGCAGAACTTTAGAACCCTTTTGTTCACAACAGTTTCGTAGTGGAAAGTCAATCAAATCCTAGAAATGGTTAATCCTAAAAGACTTCATCTTTAAAATGCAGAACATTGATTCACTTTTAAAAAACAAGAGACTAGAGAGCCTTTGGCACTATCCTAGGCTCTTTATCATCTTGCGGAGCAATCATGAATGTTTCTCTCTCAATCACCCAATGATGAAGTGGAAATTTTTGACATCCGCTACCATGCAACTAAGAATGTAGAGTATCCTTATCTAATGGAGTAATCCACTAGTAGGCACGTCGCTCCCACTGTCCCTAGTATACTGAAAATTTCTTTCCATTCTCAACTAGGCTACATTAAAGCGCCTTGGAATTCTCCATGTCATAGAGTTCCAAACTCTATTCGCGTCACCTCTGCTAAGAAAGAACTTTATGTGACTCAATTACACTCAAGCAAAACTACTCACCCATAAACACAGGACCCGGAGGGTTTACATGACAACATATAATAATGTGCCACATAACCCTAATTGTCTACAAGACAGCATACAATAATGTGCATTTTTTTTTTGATAAATAAAATTTATTACCAAAGCATCAAGATGAAGAAAAAAAAAAACCTTAAATAGGGAACATAACCAATTGACTCATCAACAAAATCCAGAAAAACAAGAAATTGGGAGCCACACTACAAGACACCCAACTATACAAAACACCAAAAAACGAAACTTCAACTGAGCCACCACCATAGCACACCCTTGAAAGTCCGACGATTCCGCTCCAACCAAATCAGTCACATCAAACACAAAGGGGCTAAAGCCCGAGCTCACCACTGCCTCCACCTCCGCCACCGCCACCGCCCTACTCGACCACCCCCCCAATGACGAAGAACCTCCATGACCCGCCTCGGCTGAACTCACACCACTCCAAACAAAGAGAAAATGTTCACCCACAAAGAGAAGCAATCAGACAATGAATAAGCAAATGATCTACTGTCTCCGCATCAGCACAACACATACAATAAGGGGCCTTATTGCTCTAGGTCTCAACTGAAGCTTGGGTAACCAACTTAGGGTATGATAGAAAATCACCCCTTATTTATAAATGAAGATTAGGGTTTACAATTACAAGATGATCCCTGAGTGCATGAAATGATTACAAACCATAGTGACTTTCGGCTAATATAATATGCTAATACTTTCGGCTAATATAATATGCTAACACTCCCCCTCAAGCTGGTGCGAAGATATCTCTCATGCCCAGCTTGCCTAATATGTCATGAAATGGTTTATTCCCAATTCCCTTGGTGAGAATGTCAGCAAGTTGTTCACCAGACTGGACAAAAGGAGTACAAATGGTACCACTAGTGAGTTTCTCCTTAATGAAGTGGCGATCAATCTCAACATGTTTTGTCCTGTCATGTTGAACGGGATTGTGAGCGATGTTGATGGCGGCCTTATTATCACAGTATAACCGCATGGAGTCCGTCTGAGCAATACCTAGATCACTGTACCGAACCGAAAACCAAAAAAAAAATAATTTTAAAAACCGCACAGACTGATTCATATTAAAAAACCGAACAAATATAGCCGATTTGGTTCGGTTCAACCGATTTGGTCAGTTTTTTTGATTTTTCTTACATCCCTAGTGCCTGGGCATCAGCACGTGTCAGCGCTTACATCAGCGCGTAGCCTACGTTACACGGACTCAGGTGTGGGTATCAGGTGCAGGTGCAGATGCGGGTACGTATCTAGGGGTTGGACATTTCAAAATTAAAAAGTGAGGATACCTTGATATGGATCCAAATGTGGATATGCGTACAGGGGTGGGTAAATAGTTATTTTTTAAATATATTTATTATATAAAGATGAGTTAAATAGTTATTTTTTAAAATATATTTATTATTTTTCTATCTTATGTATTTTTTTTATTGATAATATTTTTAATTTATTTATATAATTTATTTTTTTATTTTTAATTGATATATGTTATAAATAAAAAAATACAACAAATAAAGAATAATAAAATATGTTAAAATAAATAAAATAATAAAAATTGGATGATTTATTGTATATATTTTATTAGATTTTTTTATTATATATGATTTAATTAGATTTATTATTATATAACAAAATAATATATTATTTATTTATTACATGTTAAAAACAAGGGGGAGAGAAAACAAATCGACAAAAGAGAGAGAAGAAGTACAAGAAGAAGAAGAGGAGATGATGAACAAGAGAAGACGAGGAGATGAGAAAAGGAGATCGAGAGAGACGAAGACAGAGAGAGAGAAGAGGAGATCAACACAAATGAAGCCAGAGAGAAGACGACACAGATCTTCACCCTTTTGAAATTGCAACTAGGTTCTCACCTTGCTCTCTTCTCTTTCGTTTCTTCTTAACATAGTCGTATCTGTTTGTGAAGTGCCATATCCTGGCCGTATCCCGCCCCCGTACCCGTGTTGTGTTGTGTAACAAGGGTACCTCAGAAATTCTGAAGAGTCCATGTAACGTAGCATGTGGCAATGCAGCTTCGCCAATACGCGCATGGACCCCACACACCGTCTTCCAGCGGCCATTTTGGCTCGATTTTTTGCACCGTTTGACTCAATTTCTCGAGAGAAATCCAATGATGGTCTCGGTTTTGGCATTCGACGACTCTAAATGAGGGAGTGTTCGACACACACTCTCGGTTAAGAGTAGGAAGCCTCTTATGGCTTCCAACTCTCACCCAAATTAGGGTTTGAGTTTTTCCCTGAACCGTAAGTTGGAATCAAACGCATAATATACTGTTTCGAAAGTCTCGAAACAAGGATTCCAAATATATAAGTTTCACAGCATGAAAACGAAGCGTGTAAAAACAGTATGCAGTCAAAGTTTTGAAAAACAAAAATTGGTCTTCATTTTTATCAAAATCCGGCCGTCCGATTTTAATATAATTTTACAAATATGCTCTACATGATATGAACTACAACATATACGAAATTCATGACGATTAGAGATAGTTTGAAAATCATCAATTTTCTTACATGAAAAACATATATGCATATATTCATGCACAAATAACATGAAAACACCTGACAATGGCTCTGATACCAATGTAGGAAAAATGGATTCAGGCATACTTTTTTCTCTCAACCTGAATTCGTGTATCATATGGGTGAATCACGTGCCTCCATGATGAACTCGAACAATTTCCTGCAGTGGGGTAGAACTATTAGAGAACAACTCACACAATTCACAGTACGAAGGCATGGTCTTCAATGACAAAGAGTTAGAGAGTCTTTTTGCAGAAAAACTTCTCAGTTAAAACCCATAACCTATAGTACGTAATACATATAGATGCAAGGGATGTGCGAGGTGCGGTTCGGGCGGTTTGAGAGTAAAATTACAAACCGAATGGCGGGTTAGCGGATTGACAAATTGTGGTTTGGGCGATTTTTGGCGGATTGAAGAATATTCTAACTAATTATCATACATTTGCATAATATTTTTAGATATATAATATTTTTTAGATATATAATACAAAGTAATTTTACATAATATGTTTCATATATATAACCACTAATTTGTAATAAATTTCATATCTTAAATCTCTGTCACACTCATTTTTACATTGATATTTCATTGGAAGTTAAAAAACATATATGTATTAACTATAATGGTGCGGAGCGATTCGGTTGGCATCCTATAACTTTTAAAGTTTAAACCACGGTTAGCGGTTAGAGCAGTGCGGACTGATGCGAATCGGTGCGGTTTTAGTGAGTTTGGCAGTATTTTGCAAGAGATATAACCACCCATAACTCTATCTCCTCATAAGATGAGATTGTGGGTTATTCACTCTTATCCCTAGGATAACATGGTCTGAGATTCAAACTAATAGGGTCACTAAATGGGTTGCGGGTCAAAACCCGGGTCCAAAACCCAACCCGATTTCTAACATATACAAAAGAAAGGTTTATAGGATGAAAATGGATACCACGCTGATGCTTCTTTTCAATGGTGCTTGTACTCTAGATGAACTTGATTGCAAAATTTTGGGTGACAATGAGTGACACAAACAAAAGAGAGGTCATAAATGGATCATTATAGGATGAAAATAGACCTCATACCACCCTGATTGATAACAGGACAACTTCATCAGCACATGAGTTGCTATTTCCAATAGTTTCGCAAAATTGAATCCCAATTCTCAGGCTACGCTGGTTTCCTTCATTTTCAGTACCAGGCTATACTTCAAATTCACAGAATCAGCAAAGTTTCTTCAGTAAACAAGTAGGTATCTTGACATCAGTTTAAAAGCCTTCTCAAAGAGCATTTTTCCTACAGTTTATTCACTTGCTGGTACAGAGATTCTACATATAGTAGAATGGAAACATAGATAAAAATGAATAATTGTATTTACATGAAGAAATTACATCTAACTTGAAGAACAGAAAGGAGCAGGAGACACACTATTAGATACTCAGTTAATTTGAAGAGAGAAAATTGGGGAGAAGATATTATCTAAAAGCAGTCTTTCATTCACCATACCTCAAGTGATATAGCACCCCGATCACTCCACGTCATGTGAATGCAGGACCTTCCAAGTGCTGCAAACCAATCATCGCTTCTCCTGTTCACAATCAATGACATGAAAAAGGAGTTGTCATTCAACTATAATACAAGTACCACCCAAACAAAAATGACAGTTCCGTGCTCATTTCAACAATTACGATAAAAAGGAGAGGTTCTGCCCATAATCCATTAGTGAGAATTCTTTCATTTCATACTATGAATTACCAAGATTGAACACGAGCAGGTTATCTTTACCAAAACTATGGGGTTGCACATAAATTTAGTGGCCTAGAATAACAGTGGATCATCTATAATTATCATGCCAAGTTAAACTTGAAAATGGAACACAGTAAATTACACTCACCTCCCTTGAGGTTTGGAAAAAATACAGTTAGCTCCACACTTTTAACATAATTACACCTACCTCCCTCAAGGTTTTAATTCATGTAACACTTGGGTCCTTTTTATCAGTAATTCGTAAATTGTATGGATGAAAAGATGATGTTGTCATATATTTTCTACCAAAATGTACATTTACCTTTGTTTATTTAGTGTCTATCCACCATCTGCATTAGTTTTGATCGCTTTAACTTTACTAAAAGAGAGGTTAGTGTAATTATGCCAAACTTTTGAGGCTAACTGTATTTTTCTCAAACCTCAGGAGAGGTGAGTGTAATTTACCCAATTTTTTAATTGCATTGATCATCCTGAAATAACTATGGGAGCTACTTCTCCTAAATCCAGAGTTGTTAACTTTAACAACTAGTTAAGCAGATCCTAATCTAGTCTGTCTGTAAGAATGACTGCTCCAACTACTCAAGCACACAACTACTAAATCCTGAACTAAAACTTCAAAATATAAATAAAAAATAAACAGAAAATTGAATGCCTCCTCAGAATGCAATAGAACTCTTAGATTGATAAATAATTATTGATACATATCAATAAGCAGGTAAGTGTTGGAATGACCAGAACTACAGTAATATATAAAGAACCAAAAATTTTATGGATCAGAGTTTCACACACAAACAAACAAACAAAAAGAACAAAAAAAACTTGTTTGACCAAATGCAATAGTACAACTTCAAATAACCATGTGACAAGAATGGGTATAACTAATCAGATTGAAAGACATCAACTTTCAATTATCTTACATTATTAGAATTATAGTCTAGATTTTCAAAATCTTATGACCTATTATTAGCATAATGAGAATAGCTTAAAAAACTAAGCCCTCCAGTAAGACCAATAAGAGCAAAAGAGAATTCAAAAAGTTTCTTGAGAGCCAAAAATGAAATGTATGCATCAAAATTGATGCAATCTATGCCAATCCACATCCTCGTAAGTCTATTGGTTTTGCTCACCTTAAATCCACCAAATCACACACATACGAGCTATCATCCAAATCTTACTCAATCGCCTCGCTGTATAACCTTATGCAGGACAACTTTAGGAAACTTGGGGTGTGTTGCTTCTTGCAATTGGTATTATGGTGGATTTTGGTTATAGAAAGCTTCTAGTGTTACGGTTCTAACAGGTAGAAGAAAGATTTATGTATTTTATATCAAGGAAGAGGGTGAAATTAAACTGATTTCTAATGTATTAGGTTGCAGGATTAGCAGAGGCTGGATTTCTCTGGACAGCAACTATTTTATGGTGTTTAAGTGAAGATGGCCAAAGGGTAGCAGAAAAGGTTGTGAATAATTTGAACTTATTGGCAAGGTTTAGGGACTGAGAAGGGCAGTTTTTCAAGACCAATGAACAATAACCCAAGAATAGTACTTCGGTTATTAGTGCAAACAATAAGAGAAGAGTAACAAGAAACACACAGAGAACTTAACCTTGCAAGGGTGGAGCAAATCTCACACAAAACACAATATCAATTCTTCATAATATCATCTCCATTGAGACATTGAGATCTCACACATAGTTAAGAATGAAACACAAGAATTGAAAAAGAGAGAAAAGAGAATTAGAGATTTACTGGAAGAGAGGGTATAAAACCTAATTAGCCTTCTTACCTCTCTAAACACATGTATTTACAATAAGAAGGGAATAACTACAATGACACTATTACCCTCAAGCACATAACTTAACACTCCCCCTCAAGTTGATGCATAGATATCCTTCATGCCCAACTTGCATACAAAAGGATGAAACACTTTACTCCCTAACCCTCTGGTAAATACATCACCTAACTGATCTTTAGATGCTACAAAAGACCAACAAATGATGCCACTATTCACTTTCTCCTTGATAAAATGTCAATTAATCTCGATGTGCTTAGTTCTATCATGCTAAACCGGATTATGAGAAATGTTAATAGCGGCATCATTATCACAATACAGTCTTATGGGACTACCACTCAACAATCCTAGGTCAACCAATAAAATTTTCCACCACATCAACTCACAAATGCCCTGCGCCATGGCTCAATACTCCGCTTTTGCACTCGATCTAGCAATAACGGACTACTTCTTACTCCGCCAAGTCACCAAATTTCCTCCTACAAATGTACAATAGCCTATGGTAGACCTCCTATCATCAATAGCCCAATCTTCATCGGGAAAAGCCTCTAACCTTAAATGACCATGATTGGAGAACAAGATACCTTTTCCAGGCACTGATTTGAGATACCATAATATTCGATGAACTGCATCCAAATGCCCCATCCGAGGATCATGCATGTATTGGTTAACAATGCCAACAGCATAAGCAATATCTAGCCTAGTATGAGAAAAGTATATCAGTCTTCCCACAAGCCTTTGATACCTCTCCTTGTCCACATGTTCTCCATCACTACTACTCAGCCTGTGATTAGTCTCAATAGGAAAATCAACAGGCCTACATCCCAACATGCCTACCTTCTCAAGTAAGTCCAAGATGTACTTTGAGAAATAAAGATGCCCCTATTTGATCTAGCAATCTCAATTCCAACAGAGTACCGTAAGGGTCCGAGATCTTTAATTTCAAATTCTCTAGAAAGTTGAGCTTTGACTTTGGACATTTCTTCTTCATCATTGCCTGTCACCAAAATGTCATACACAATAGACAATAAGTACAATGATCTTATCTCCACACTGTTTGATGAACAAAGTATGATCTGCATGGCTTTGCTTATAACCAAATTTGAGCATCGCTTTAAGGAATCTGTCAAACCAAGCTGTAGGAGATTGTTTCAACCCATACAAGGCCTTCTTTAACCGACAAACCTTCCCCTCGATGGCTGGAGAAGAAAAACCTAGAGGAATATCCATATACATTTCCTCTTCTAGATCCCCATGAAGAAACACATTCTTCACACCCAACTGCTGTAATGGCCATCCCAGGGTTGCTACACAAGAAAGAAGAATACGGATGGAATTCATCTTGACCACTGGTGCAAAGGCCTCCTAGTAGTCAATGCCATAAGTCCGAGTGAACCCTTTGGCAACTAGCCTCGGCTTATATCTCTCAATGGTCCCATCAGCTTTCTGTTTGACAGTGAACACCCATTTTCACCCCATAGGCTTTTTCCTGATTGGTAGAAAAACTAACTCCCAAGCGCCATTCTTACTCAATGCTCTCACTCCTCTACCATAGCTTCTTTCCACTTAGAATCTTTAAGAGTTTCCTTCCAACCCTGCGGAATAGAAACAAAAGACAAAGACGAAACAAAGGCATGGTATGATGGAGATAATGAGTCATATGACACAAAATGAGATATAGGATGTTGAGTACAAGATCTAACTCATTTCCTAATAGCAATAGGAAGATTGGAGTCACCAACTTCATGAACATCACTAGCAGGGACAGGAGAATTAGCAACCAATGACTCATTACCTGAAACTGGAGATGGAGATGATTGGCATAGCAGCACATCAGGCACCTGTTCCCTCTGTCGCCGTCTAGAGATCTAATCTATCCAACAGACATGACTCCCCCTGAACACAAGGAATTACCTCCCCCTCACTACATGGCTCACCTTCCCTCTCACAACCACTAGAAAGAAAAACCATAGAATCCGGAAAACCAATCTCTTCTGGAATAGAAACCTCCCTCCGAAGAGATGATCCTTGGAAGAATGGCTCAGACTCACAAAACGTAACATCCATAGAAACATAAACTTTGCGAGTGTGGGGGTAATAGCACTGATAGCTTTTTGAGTAGAGGAATAACTGAGAAAAATACACCTTAAAGCCTTGGGATCAAGTTTGTTGCAAAGGGGATGAGGGGAATGGACAAAGCAGACACAACTAAAGACCTTAGGTGGAAGATAGATAGGGTGAACAGATGTCCGGGAAAGAAGGGGAACAGGGCATTGAAACTGGAGGACACTCGCAAGCATGCGGTTAATAAGATATGTAGCGGTAAGGACCGCATCACCCCAATATGGTTTAGGTACATACATTGTGAACATAAGAGCACGAGCAACCTCGAGTAGATGATGGTTCTTGCGCTCAACAACACCATTTTGTTCAGGGGTACCGACATAACTGATTTGACAAAGAATGCCATGAGCCTAAAGATAGGCCCAAAATGCACCGTCAATATATTCAGTGCCATTGTCACTCAAGAGGACTTTAATAGGGGTAGCAAATTGAGTAAGCACCATCTTATGAAATGTCTGAAAACATGAAAAAACTTCATTTTTAGTCTGATGCAAGTAAACCCAAGTCACACGAGAATAGCAATCAATAAAAGTAACAAACCACCGATAACCAGATACAGACATAACACGAGACAGATCCCAAACATCAGAATGAATAACCATAAAAGGAAAAAGACTTAGTTTATTAATGCGAGGATAACAACATTTATGTTTAACACTCACAAGCATCACAATGAAAATTATTCTTATGGCAATCCTTTACTAAGGAAAAAATATTTCTAAAACTAAACTAGAGGGGCCGTTCTAAACACCGATGCCACCAATGTAACAGGGGAAGGGCAGAAGTTCCAGTCGCCTGAAGAGGCTAGTGAGAAGATCCAAGGGAAGAAAGTCTAGCATCCAAAAAGTACAAGCCCCTAATGTGCTTTACCACTGCTAATCGTTCTCTCTGTACCCAGTTACTGAAAAACACAATGAGAGGGATAAAAGGTTATAGAACAATTTAGCGAATTGGTAAGATGACTAACAGAGAGTAAATTAGTAGAAAACTGGGGAACATGAAGAACAGAAGAAATAGAAATAAAAGAAGAGCAATGAACAGAGCCTATCCTAGACACACAGGATAAAGACCCATCAGCAACTCTTACTTATCCTTGCTAGAACAAGGAGGGTAAGAGTGGAAAAGATGAGACAAACCTGTCATGTGGTCAGTAGAGCCAGAGTCAATGATCTAAGGACATGAAGAAGAAGCACTCAAGGCACTTGTAGGAATACCTGTGGAAGCAAAGTTGGAAGTAGAGGAAGGATCAAAAGTCGGGACAGAGGAAGAATCAAGCCGAGCCATTAGACACCAGAGAGTGTGCAACTCATCACGGGAAAGTGTAACAGAATCACCCGGGGCACTGGCCGAAGACTCAGAGAGATTAGCATGGGAACGAATAACGCCACCATGTCCACTAGTACCACTACGAGGAGGACGACCATGTAACTTCCAACAATGTTCCCTATCATACCGGTCTTTCTCACAATATTCACAGGTAATCTGACCACGATTAACACTAATACCTTTGTTCCTAGACTTGGTCATTACCACGTTGGGAATACATCTGAGCTGCAACAGTCCAAATCTCATGAGCTACATCCGTCAAAACAAAGAAACGGATAATACTGGAGTGGATAGAGCTAATAAGCCAAGTCATGACGAGAGCATTCTCCTTTTGCCATTTATCTTGGGCTGGTCCATCCTCCTTGGGAGCCTTAGTAACTCTCTTGATGTAACCAGACGTGCCACAAGCAGTAATGGCCAATTGAAAGGAAAGCGACCAAACCAGATAATTGGTACCATCCAACTTGACCGAAGTAAGTTAAAGAGAGGAATTATCACCAAGAGAAACATTGGAACCAGATTCTTTCACTTTCGTTGACTACAGGGGTCTTACCATCATCTGCCATGGCCTAGAATGGTGCTAGTACACCCAACAAACAAGACAACCGCAGAAAACTATCAAAAGAAAATTGTTACTCAACAAAAATAGCCCAACAACATTAAAAAGGGCCAGAAAAAGAGTGGCTGAAGCAAGAAGCAAAAATGCAGACCCCTGGAAGAAGCCCGACAGCTCTATGAAGCCAAAAAAGAATTAAAAACCATCCAAAACCGAAGCCAAAGAGTAGCCTAGAGCATCTGGTCGGCTCCCATAGGTGGACCCAAGTGATGAATCAATCAAAAAATTGACAAAATGAAGAAATCAAAAAATCGGACCTATTTTCCCAAAAAATAAAGAAAAATTAGAAAAATAGGCAACTAAAAACCAAAAAAAAAATATTTTGAAACTTTTTCTGGTAAACCCTCTTTTTTTATTTTTTATTTTTTACATTATCGGGAAGAACAAGGAACACTTGAAACTAAAAAACTAAAAATAAAAGAATAGAAAAAAATTTCTTTGCTCTGATACCAAGTTAAGAATGAAACACAAGAATTGAAAGAGAGAAAAAAGAGAACCAAAGATTTATTAGAAGAGAAGGTATAAAACCTAATTAGGTTGCTTACCTCTCTAAATACATGTATTTATAATAATAAGGGAATAAGTACAATGACACTATTACCCTCAAGCACATAACTTAACACACATATTTATGGGCTAAAGACTTTCCTATTTCTATTACAAGGACTAAAACTTGAATTCAGACTAAGAATCTTTGGTATTTGAAACCATTTGAGACTAACTTGGACACCAAATTAAATTCAACTAATATCTCTTGCCCCAATTTATGACCCATGGACTATGACAACTAACCTATGTTACACAGACTCTTCAAAATAAATCAAATATCCATGTCGGACACTCAACATTCGGACAAGGGTATGGTACATATGTCAGATACTTTTCAACGAATACTTCTTATATAATTGTATATAACACTATTATTATATATACATATTGTCGTATAATTGCCATAAATGTCTTTTTGACACTGCAAGTTACATATAGCAGCATTTTATCTCACTAACTTGATTAAAAATATAAAAATTTCACATTTTTTTGCCAAGTCCGCGTACCCTTAAATTTATGGTTTGATGAGTCCGACCTCTAGATACATACCCGCACCTGACATCCTGTACCCGAGTCCATGTAACAAAGCTACTAACCATGACTAGCAATTATTGAATCTAGCAAATAATACTTAACTACTAAAATCTAATATAATGATATAAAATTCGTCCAGTAGCATGCTAAATCAAAATAGACAAATAAATACTCAAAATTAAATACTCAAAATTATTCCAAAACTTTAGTCCAAGTGAAATTCCAGACTGGGCCTTTTCTTCTTTCCATGCTTGTCATCATAACCGTTGCCCAAGATTCATACAACCAAAATACTAAATCTGGAATTGCAGAACTAATTTAGCCAAACATAGAAAAGAACAAGCTCAAAAGATCCCAGATTGATTCACTAACACATGCAACACCAACTAGGCAACATCTTCCCCTTTCCAAATTATGAATAGTGAACAGAACTTAGATAGAAACCCCACTTCCCAAATGTTCTTCAACGGAAAAGATTTAACCCTACCACCACCAATAATATTGTGGAACAGAACTTAGATAGAAACCCCACTTCCCAAATGTTCTTCAACGGAAAAGATTTAACCCTACCACCACCAATAATATTGTGGTAGCAATTTCAGAAATTTCTCATTATTGCCTTTCGACATTGTCCTATCCTCCTCTCTTTGTACCAATTTTTTTAAGGGCATTAAGTTTAATATTGTCCATTGCATCCCCCCCCCCAACATATTCAATTTATTTCATTTGTCACCAAAAAAAACAAAATAAAACAAAAAACTCTATGTCTGAATATTATACTATTAGAGACCTTCAAAAGTCTTCCAGAGAATTTGATCTCTCTCTCTCCTTTTTTTCCACATGTTGGACATGGCCATGAATAGAGAACAAGTATAATTGAACAATATGAGTAATAGGAAGTATGCACATTAGAGCAATTTTTCATTTCATTCTCAATTGCAACTTGGGTAGGATACATGATATTAGTCAACTCTTGCTTTACTGGTGGGAAAATGCAAAATATAATTTGGAAAATAACTGGTCAAATACCAAAATAGTATCGACAACCAATTGCAGTTGACAATGTTACTAAAACTAGTCATTATAGTCTAGTTATGAAACATATGATGGTCATGACCAAAAACAAAAAATGATGCTGATAGTGATGACAATATGATAGTCAACCTTTGCAGGTACTGATGAGTTAATTCCCCACTTGTGATGGCTCCTAGAAACATAGAGGGATCAAATCCAAGGGTTTTTAACTTTTCCATGGTTATTGATGCACGTCTTGAGGAATTACTGATTATCACCATCTTGGCACCACTGGTAGCTAGCCTTTCCACTGTTACACAAACTAGAAACGTTAAAACTTAAAAGCAATCACACGGTGTACCATAAAACTAGTTGCAAAGCAAACAGTTAACAATATAACTGAAACACGCTTACCAAAATGCCAAAGCTAATAGATGAGAACATACATGTTGAAATTGCACCAGGATAAGGTTGTTTCCCATCATGAAGAACACCAAACTGATCTAAGAACCATGCCTGCGAGTGCATCAGCATATTTAAGTTGAAATATTTGTACAAACAATCTCATTAAATGTTGTATACATATACCTCTGGTGTTTATCTTGAAGGATGGTTTGTGACCTTAGTCAATCTAATTTGATCATAGCTAGAATAATTAATGGCATGATTACCAAAATCAGGATCCAGATCGTTGGATCCTACAATCCTAAATTTCCAAAATCATCCAAATCATTATAGAATTGGTGTTATAGCGGGATCACAAGTAGGATTGTGTGGGATTGTGCAAAGATTGTGTAGGATCGTGTGGGATTATAGAGGACCATAGTAAAATTGTAGGTAGGATTGTAAGTAGGATCATTGGATTTGTAATTTTTCACCTTATTTTTAATATGCATCATCCTTATTTGCATTTTTATTTTTAATAGAAAGTAGAACCTTACGATTCTCAATCCGATGCTATGATCTGATCCACGAAACCCTCTCATCGATCCTACATAGGATCCCAATTTTAACAACCATGATTAATGGTGTTGGACCTTAGTTTCTGACGCAACCTGCTGTTCATATTAAATTGTTTTGGCTGCCAGCAATTATTTTATACATGTTTTAAATGAGGAAGTTGGAATGGTCATTCAGGGACTTTGAATAAGCTCAGGTTCATTAATTCTCTTGGGCTCATGTGTTGAGCATTTAAGGAACTCTTTGAATACCACTTTTTTTAGTTTTAAAAAGAACCTGTAAGAGGTAAGCGAGAAGTCAGTTTTTTTTTTTTTTTTTTAGAAATAATATTCAAAACATAGCTTGACATGGCTCCACCCCCAGCTAAGGTTTCAAGCATTGGAAGTTTGGGTTTTGAGGAGTCGAACTACGTCTACTTCTAATCCCTCCACTGCTGTGTTTCTTTACTGTTCAGATTCGAGTTTTCCTTAAAAACTCCTTGTTTTGGACTGAACGTCATAAGTCTCAATTCTACGTCTTGTCATAAGTCTTGCTATCATATTTTGTTAATAAAGTTTGTCGACAGTTCACATCAGTTCCCCATAGATTGGTTTTTACTTAGCTTTTCCTAGCTTTATTTTTGTTGCTTAACATTGGCGCTTGTGTTCAAATGCAAGTGACCCCATTCAAATGAGAATAGAATGTCTATTGCAAATCCTATAGAGGTGAAACCAATAGCTTCATCGTCCAAACGCTCCAGTGGTTCGTAAGAAGGCATGATATTCTTGAGTTTCATTTCATATCAGAAACTTGAATCCAAAGACACTGTTCAAACTGTGCTCTATTTCATTTGAACGCATTATGTTTTGGGGAATATGACCTGAGTCGTAGTGTGTTTTATTCCTTGCTGGTTTAGGTTTTTCATTGAACTTTACATAGTTTCTTATGACTTCAGTGTAGAGTTTGGTACATAGAGATATTATCATTGAGTTTTTAAGTGTTCTTAGGTCTATAGTATTGTGAGTATAAAAGTTAGGTGAGAATCTTAGAGAGTGCTACACATTCATAAAACACGCACAATCATTGTCAAGGACAGCACATAAGATATTTGTGGATTGAAGGTTGGATGCTTCATAATTGTGGGTTCATGATGTGCTAGTAAAAAGTAGATTGCCAAAGTTCAAGTAGATTGGACTACAAAACTGCTTTGGGTTTAAGTAGGTAGGATCTTGATTTGGGTCCTGTAACTTGCACTTGATTTGCTTTACTAGTGGACTACATCGGTGGATTTTTACCGTCTGCTTGGAAGGGTTTCCCCACTATAAATCATTTATATCCTATGAGTGAATGCTTGGATATCTTGCTTAGGAAGTTCCTGGAACTAAAATTTTTATATCTTTAATCTTTCATTATCAAGTAATACAATCAGCATTCCATGAAATAAAAAGTGTGTTACAATGAAGTTTGCCCTAAAATGTAAATAGTACAGATAATATTTTCCATGTAATTTCTCTTCTTATAAGAACTAAGTAAATGGCCTATTTTGAGTGAAAATAAGTTGAACATGAAAGCCCCAGAAACCAGTCCAAAATAAATCTATAGTCAAAATCTCAAGGGTGTCTCAAAATCATTGCATTTGAAGAGGTAGAACTAATCGAAAAGCAAAAATACATTTAACCTAGTAGTAGTAGATAATTAAAAGATGAATTATACTAACCGTCCCTATAGTTTGGGGCTTGTATCACTTCAGTCTCTGACTTTTCAATTGTGACACATTTGATCCTGAATTTTGAAATTTATTTCAAATAAGGACAATTGAATATATCATTGCTCAATTTCAAGGGTAAAGTCATCAATTTGATAAAATATAAACTAATTTGACAAAAATAAATGTCAAAAAATATTTTTGAATTTTTGAAAATTATTTCTATGCACCAAAAGAAAAGAAAAGAGACATTCATATAGTGTTTATCGACCTTGAGAAAGCATATGACAGAGTGCCCCGAGATATAATATGGTGGGTGTCAGAGAAGAAAGGGGTGACAAAAGGCTACATTGACATGATTAGGGACATGTATGAAGCGGTGGTGACCACTATTAGATCGCCAGCTGGAGAGACAAATGAATTTCCTATCACTATAGGGTTACACCAAGGATCTACCTTAAGTCCTTTTCTTTTTGCTTTAGTTATGGACGAGTTGACGATAAATATTCAGGATGACGTGCCATGGTGTATGCTTTTTGCAAACGATATTGTATTAGTGGATGAGACTAAAGAAGGGGTTAACACAAATGTTGGAGATTTGGAGAAAAGCTCTTGAATCTAAAGAATTCCGAAAAAAGCAGAACTAAGACAGAGTACATGGAGTGTAAATTTAGTAACAGTAAAAATAAGCAGAGGAGAAGTGAAAGATTGAGAATCAAGAACTGCCTAAGGAGTGAACATTTCGTTATTATGGGTCGATTATCACAACAGCGGGAGAGAATTGATGCAGATGTGGCCCATAGAATTAAGGCGGGATGGTGAAATGGAGAAGTTGCGTCTGGTATTGTGTGCGATAAAACGAATACCCACTAAAACTAAAAAGGTAAGTTTTATTGACCAGCTATGTTGTATGGGACGGAGTGTTGGGCAACTAAGAAACAACATGTAGATAAGATGAGTGTGGCTGAGATGAGGATGCTAAGGTGGATGTGTGGTAAGACTAGACAGGACAGGATTAGGAATGAGTGTATTCGGGAATGGGTAGGAGTAGCACCGATAGAAGATAAGTTGAGAGAGAATCATTTGAGATGGTTTGGTCATATTCAACGGAGACCAACAGAGGCAGTAGTGAAGAGATGCGATACTGTAACGGTAGATGAAAGTGTTAGGGGACGGGGTAAGCCTAGATTAACGTTAACTAGCGTTATAAATAGAGATATGAATCTACTTAATTTGACTAATAAAATGGCCTTTGATAGGGCCGCGTGGAGAAGAATGATTCACGTACCCGACCCCATTTGATGGGACTTAAGGTTTGGTTTGGTTTATTTCTACCCACCAAAGATAAAATTATATAAAATTTATAAATCTATTATGCATTTATTTATTTATTTATTTTACCAAATTGATTTTTATTATGTGTTTGGGTGATCATCATGTAACGGATGGTTGTTACGCTTTTAATGTGTAATCAAATATATTTAATATATAAAATATTTTTAGTTTTGGATTTTTTGATTTAATGGATTGGTTTAATATTGATATCAAAGTGTCGCCATATTTGACTTTTAGAAAAATAGAAACTAATTTAATGAAAATAAAAGCAACTATCCATTACATGATCATCATCCAAACACATAATAAAAATTAATTTGGTGAAATAAATAAATAAATGTATAAAAATTTATCAATTTTACATTTTATCTTTAGTGTTTAGAAAAAAAATTTAAAAATTCAAAAAAAAAAATTAACATTTATTTTTATCAAATTAATTTATATTTTATCAAATTAACGACTTTACCCTTAAAATTGAGCAATAATATTTTCAATTATTCTTATATTTGGAACAAGATTCAAAATTCAGGATCAAATATATCAAAATATCAGGAATCTCAATTTATAAGGATCGTTAGTGTAATTTGCCCATATTTAAATTTAATAACAAAAAAAATATTTAAAAAATATTTTTAAACAATTATCATTTTAAATATGTTAAAATTTCAACATTAGCAGAGGCCATCAAATGAAGACACCATTAACTGAGAACTTTGAAAAGGGCCTTGATGCTTTTTTGAAATATATAATATAAATAAATAAATAAAATTTAAAATTGAATAAAGAAATAAAGCAACATATACATACTAGCGTATAAATATTATTTAGGATAAATGTTGATGATGTAAATGTAATACTGGGTTAGTATTATTTTTATTATTATTGAGGAGGGTGGTTACCTTGAAACGACGAGATTGAGAAAGTTGTTGAATCCCATTCAAGGTCTGGAACAACTGTGCCTTTTCCGATGATGAAATCGAGCATCTTCCCATCATTTTTTCTCAAGTTTTCCTGCAATTAAAAAAGGAGAGAGAATACTCGAGTGCTTGTGGTAAGTATAACCTAACAATCCTTTTTCTTTTTCTTTTTTTCTTTTAATGAGAAAAGAATCACGGGTTTGGATGCCGTGAAAGAGAGAAATGACACGCGAAATAAAACAGTTTTGGATTAACAATAATGATTCATCCTTTTAATTTACAAATTTTGATAGAACACTGATGAGGTAAAAATTAAAAAAAAAAAAAAATTATGATCAAAACATCGCATCAGTTAGTGGGGTTCCATTTCCTAAAACTCCATTAGAACTTATAGTTTAGAGCTCTCAAACATTTTTTTTTGAATTAATTACAAAAGAAAAAAAAAATTAAATTTCACGTGTTTTTTATTCTAAATTGATAAATGTGTTTTTTTTATTTATTTTTATCTGTGTAAGGTAACGAAAAATTATTTTAGGGTTTAAAGTGAAAAATATATGAGATTTTAAGATTTTATGTATAATTAAATATTTTTTTAAAATTAAAATACTAAAAATAAAAAAAATAAAAAAAATTAATCACAAAATAAACCTCACGATTTTACATGTTTTTTATTTTAAACTCCTTCCGTTACATTACACGGACAGAGATAGAAAGATGTGGCACATTGAAATATGGATGGAGCTCCAACGTTTAATTTGTCGAAATTGAAACTCCTGTTACGTTACACGGACGAAGATGGATGGATGTGGCACATTGAAACACTAATGGAATTCCAATATTTAATTTATTGAAATTAAAACGCTGGGTTTAAAGTGAAAAAAGCGTGAAATTTTGAAGTTTTTTTGTAATTAACCCAACAATTTTTTTATCTTTTGGCAATCCAAAAAAAGTCATCTTTTTTTTGAAATTTTTTTGTCTTTAGTGATTTTTTTCAAAATTATGTCAAAATTTTTTATTTTTCTGATCTGCCTTGTCGAAACGAATCTTATAAGTATATTTTTTTAAAAATTTAAAAAAATTTGAAAAATCCAAAATAACCCAAAAAAGATTGCTTATTTTTGTCTTTTTTGAAATTGTTTTAAAAAATTAAAATTTCTCGGTTCGTCTTATCAAGCAAAATCTAGAAACCTAAATTTTAAAAAAAAATTAACTAAAGACGAAAACAAACAAAAAAATAAAAAATAAAAATAAGCTAATCCCAAAACAACCGTACACGTCGACCTTATTACCTATTATTGTGTACATTTTTTTATAAATAAATATTATATAATTTTTTAGTACAATTATAAGAATTATCGGGTGCTTCTCAATTTTTTTTTTTGCCCAAAGAACCACACAAAAACTATTTAGTCCGTAAGGACATGATTTTATAAAATAACCAAACTACCACCTCTCTAATATACTTCACGTTATGTAATTGTTAAACCTACTGCTTCACGTGTTATTTATTTAAAAATCAAATCCACTTTCTCTCTCTAAATCACTTTTCTCTCTCTATTTGTTTCACCTCTCTAAATTATTAATAGGGTTTCTTCTTCTCCGCCGCTTCGTCTGCCCTAACATCGGCATACAACAGTCGAGGTCCGCCGTGAGTGGCAGCGAAAGAGGTAGAGGAGAATGGTCATGTTTGGTATAACTGTTAAAACATATTATAGATTATAGCTTAAAAGATTATAAATTATGACTTTAATCAAAAACTGTTAATCTGTTTGGTATAGTTGTTGATTATAGATTTAAGTTGCTGAGTAGTGTTTGTTAAATAAGCTGTGAAGTAGCTTTTTCAATTAACTTTTATTTTTTATTATTCACTATTTGTCTACATTTCTTATAACAAATAATAAGAAAATTTTATAGTCCATTTGTGTCTTTTTCTATTTTTAAAAAAATAAAAAATAAAAAAATCTAAGAGTATAACCGTGAATTAACATGTCCACAACAAAGACTGATAATCAGAAGCAAGGGGTGAGCAGCTTTTCAGAATTAGCTTTTTTGACTTAAAATAAGTAGTTAGAATTAGAAGCTGTTTGAAATAAGTTTAACCAAACAGTCCAAAATAACTTTTTAAAAGCCAGAAGCCGTAAGTTGGCTCAAAAAAGATAGTTTAACAGACTACATGTGATTCGCTTTAACAAATACAAAAAATAAATTTCTAGTTTAACAGATTAAATAAAATGAACAGATAAAAAGTGAAAAATTAGGACAAGAATTTGAACAAAAATTTCCAAATGATAGGATTTTATTGGAATACAAGAATATATTATGGACCAATTTGGATACTATGTACTTGAAAAAGAATTTTTTAATAAATTTCCCTTATAAAATTTAGTAAAATTTTGTACCATAAAAAAAATGATTTTACTTGCTTACAATATAGATATATATATTTTATCCCACGCCCTTTGTCTACCACCATCAACCGTCTCCACCTCCAACCACTACCATCGATGATCTCTTCCAACAAGAATTTTCCACTAGTGCCAACCACATTTGGCTACTACTTGTCAAAATCACATTCAACCACCATTTCCAATGGTTGACCATTATTTCCGACAATAAGCAACCACTTTCAGCCGTCATCTCCAGTCACCACACAATAACCTTCGATCACCATCTCCGCACAACCAACAATCGCATCTGATAAAATCGGCGATTGTCAACAACCACATCTACTTGCCAACCACCACTTTTACTTATTTTCAAAATAATTTTTTTTTAAATTTGTATTAAACATGTTTTTATTTGCATTTTTTATTAAAAATAAATATAATATATTTAAGAGAAAATTGATAATAAATCCATTTTTCCATCCCTAGAAGTCATCAAGGACAATGTTGATTTTATTAGGGACAAAGGACATTTGTTGAAAATTTATTGGTCAAAATGACATTTGTTGGTCAAACGGACATCACCACTTATCTGTTGAAATTTTTATTTTAATCTATCTATTCAAATCTTTTTTTTTTATTCTATTCAAATTTGTATCTATCTATTGAAGTTTACCAAGCCTATTTTTCTTATTTGTTGAAATTCGCCAAGATTGTTTTTCTTATCTGTTCAATTTTTTATTTTATCTGTTCAAATTCTCATACATACACACAGATTATATAAGAGAGAGAGAGGTCATATCTGTCAAAATCTTTTTTTATTTGTTCAAAACCCAATTCTCTCTTTCTACCAGTACTACTATTTCTCTCTCTATTTGTCTAATACAAAACCAAAGAACAAAAGATATATAGAATCGGTGACCATCCCTTTATCATCACACACATATATATTTAGAGAGAGAACAAAGCATCTACGGTTGCTACCTCGCCACCTTCGCTACCCCTTTCCTTCTCGGCATAACGGAAAATAAGGTTAACATTTGAGTGATCTGATGCCTTTACTAGTTAGACGATAACTTCATCAACCGGATCTAACCTTTTAAGAACAACTTGTCTGTCGAACTCGTCGATCCATTTCCTACTAAACTGCTCGTAGAGAACTTAGAAGAAAATTCAAACTCAAACAAGCCAGACTTAGTTGACAAGAAAGAATCAAACCGAGGAATGATGAATAACACGAAGTGTAGAGGAGCTGGCGATGAGGCAGCCACAGCCGAGGCTTGAAGATGCTGAGACGTACGGAGTGGAGCATGTGCTGTCAATTTCTTTGCTAAGACGGTGGCTTTCGTGTGCGTTGTTGGTGTTGCTATTGTTAGAGGAGTGAATGTCTAGTTTGAAGACATTTGGTTCACCGTTGTTAGGGTTTGAAAATAGCATTATTGATGTCTATTTGTGTGTGTGTGTGTGTATGTGTGTGTGTGTGTGTGAGGGATGAGGAGAGAGAGAGAGAGAGAGAGTTTGGTGGGCTTGGTGTAGGACTAAAATGAATTTGACTAGCTGGTTGGACGCGCAACAATTAGACAGAGAGCTTCATGAACAAGAAGAAATGCATATCTCTCTTAGATGGTTTTGATTATGGAGATGTCAATTTGAACAAATAGAGAGCTTCATGAACAAGAAGAAATGCATATCTCTCTCTGTCTCTCTCTCTATCCCTCTCGCACACACACGCACACATACACACACACACACACAAATACAAATAGACACCAATAATGCTATTTTCAAACCCTAACAATGGTGAGCCAAACGTCTTCAAACTAGACATTCACTCCTCCAACAATAGCGACACCAACAGTGCATACGAAAGCCACCGTCTTAGCAAAGAAATTGACAGCACATGCTTCACTCCGTACGTCTTAGCATCTTCAAGCCTAGATCGTGGCTGCCTCGTCGTTAGCTACTTCTTCAATGCTTCGACAAATCCTCTACACTTCGTGTTATCCATCGTTCCTAGGTTTGATTTTTCTTTGTCAACTAAGTCTGGCTTGTTTGAGTTTGAATTTTCTTCTAAGTTCTCTACGAGCAGTTTAGCAGGAAATGGATCAAAGAGTTCGGCAGACAAGTTGTTCTTAAATGGTTAAATCCGACTGATGAAGTTATCATCTAACTAGTAAAGGCATCGGATCACTCAAATGTTAATCTTATTTCCCATTATGCTGAGGAGGAAAGGGGTAGCGAAGATAGCAAAGTAGCAACCGTAGATGCTTTTTCTTTCTCTACATATATATGTGTTGATGATAAAGGGATGGTCACCAATTCTATATATCTTTTGTTCTCTGGTTTTGTAAATAGAGAGAGAAATAGTAGTACTAGTAGAGTGAGTTGGGTTTCGAGCAAATAAAAAATGATTTTGACAGATATGACCTCTCTCTTGTATAATATGTATATATGTATGAGAATTTGAACAAATAGAATAAAAAAAATTGAATAGATAAGAAAAACAATCTTGGCAAATTTCAATAGATAAGAAAAATAGGCTTGGTAAACTTCAACAGATAGATACAAATTTGAATAGATAAAAAAAAAAGATTTAAATAGATAGATTAAAACAAAAATTTCAACAGATAAATAGTAATGTCCTTTTGACCAACAAATGTCCTCGTGTCCCCAATAAAATCAACATTGTCCTTGATGACTTATAGGGATGAAAATATGGATTTATCACCAATTTTCTCTTAAATATATTTTATTTATTCTTAATAAAAAAATGCAACAAAAACATGCT